GGTTTAGGGTTTAGGGTTGGAGTTTGTAGGTTGGGTTTAGGGAAGTACATGGAGTTTACACAGTTTTGTTCACGGTGTGTGATAGGGCTTCCAAAAAATATGGTTGCCTTATGCAGGGGTCCTGACTTTGAAGTTCCTGCTACTAGGGGTCTATATCGGTCCCCTGGTTTCTTATTCAGCCCTTGGATTCTTGTTAGATAGCTTGTCAGCATTGTGGTGTCGTTCCCCGAGATCTTCAGAGGATACCGTTGATGACATAAGTCCTGCATTACCTTAAGGACCAAAGCTATGGGAATTCTGGTATACTCCTGATAATGGGTAGTGCAGGATTAATATCATCAACCGTATGTTCTTGCTCGGGGGAGCAGAGATAAGGATCCCTCAATGCAGGCTCTGTGTGTAGGATCGACACTACAGAAGGCACTCGTCGGCTCTGTTTTATAGGACCCCTCAGTCGCAGGGTATCTTTGTAAGGTTTAAGGTTTAGGGTTTAGGGTTTTGGAAGGCCTTTGCAGCATCTGTATAGGAGCGTGTAGCAGGTTCGCAAGTTCTTCGTCCGGGGATACTTGGTTCACTGCCCCGTACTGTATTCTAGAGGACATTCCCTGATTGAGGCTTTCTTGTCTCTGGCACGGGTGTTATCAACAGCAGGGGTTCCCCACCCGGATGTCTCTAAACTGAAGATCTGTTGGTGTGGGACCTGCAGAAGACAAGAAAGTCCCATGCAGGAAATGGATGAAGTTTGTCAAGGCTTGCAGCCCGATATCTATCCAGAATCTACAGTTCCGTGTTCAGGGGTGCAATAGAACAGGCCGCATGCTCTGTGAGGTCCTCCGAGCAGTCGGGATGCCTTACGCGTGCAGTCCATCTCCACATGGGCGATGGCATGCATTGGCCCGTACTCTCAGGCTCATCGGCTGCTGCTTGCGGTTTAGAGCTGAGGGTTAAGGGTTTAGGTCCGTTTAGGTTGTCCGGAATCAAGATGTATGATTTTCGGAGGAGTTTTCGACATCTGCTGATGCTTGCCAAAGACACTCGAAAACATATTCTCCTGACCCGGTACGGTTCCTGATCTTCATGGCTATGCTGCATTGGTGCCTTCGCTGGGGCTCGAGGGTCATTAGTAGAACAACGTCAACTTCTTGCCAGAAAAGCAGACGGAAGCCCTGAACGCCGAAGCCTCAACCCTCAATCCTAAACCCCAACCTCGAATCCTAAACTTAAAAGCCCAAAATCCCGAACTGTCACCCCAGCCCCAAGCCCTAAACCCTAAACCCTAAACCCTAACCCCTAAACCCCTAAACCCCTAAACCCCTAAACCCCTAAACCCCTAAACCCCTAAACCCTAAACACAGTTCCGGCGGCACCGTCGCTTGGCAGGCGCAGCGGGTCGCTGGGCGACTACTCTCCTCTGGGGTCTTGGGCCTCGTGCCGGGCTCTTAAAAGAGGGCCTTAATAATTACCTATACTAGTTTGGGGCGGCGCCTTATGATTTTACCTATGCTATTTTTTGGGGGGCTCCTTACCTATACTAGTTTGGGGGGGGGGGGGGG